GAGAAAATGATTGATAAATAAAAAGGTAGCATCCTTTAGCAGGCATGCAGCTTCCAAGCTGCCTCTGCCTAAGGATCTAGAAGGAATCCCACAATCCTTTGCATGGCAGGACCTGCAGGCACAGCCCATTATTTCTTCCCTGTACTCTGTGACACCTCAACATTCACACCTTCACCTGTTTTGGGTTTTATAAAGCAGAGCTCCAGCTTATCGCTGCGTTTGTGTAACTAATCCTAATCCTGCATCCATCATCTTTCAGATTAAAACTCAGCTCATTGTTATTTAAACCGTCACACAAAAGATGATCAAATATTGATCAGCACATTGTTTCTGCTCCTCCTACAGGAGTCGGCTCTCAGCGAGGAGTTTTCCCCTCCTCACACCTCCTCCTCCACCTCTCCTCCTGCAGAGCCCTCCTCCAGATCCTCCCATCCGTACCACACCCTGTCCCAGTCCTCCGATGAGGTAACATCCAAAAAGCCAAAATCCCCCCGACTGATGATGATTCTGTGAGCTTCACCTTCTTCACCTTCCTCTTCCTCAGCCCTTTGATGAGCCCTCCTCCTCCATCTCCTCCTGGAGCACCCAGGAGGTCTGTCAGTGGCTCCGTGGGCTCCACATGGACCAGTACGTCCCAGAATTCAGTGCCAGAGACATCGACGGAGAGCAGCTGCTGCAGATGGATGGCACCAAGCTGAAGGTGACCTGGGTGATGATGATGATGGGAGGGCCCCTATCAGAGGAACCCTAACCCTCAGCTGTCTCTGTCCCCTGCAGGGTCTGGGCGTTCTCAGTTCATCAGATCGCAGTGCTCTGAAACGGCGAATTAAAGACGTACAAACGGCAGCGGAGAAGGAGAGGAAAGCTCTGGACAAACTGGAGAAACAGAAGGAGAAACAGCGAAGGAAAGACCAGGAGCAGCGCAGGAACTGACAGCCACCACTAGGGGGAAGCAGAGAGCAGAGTTTAGATTTCTGTCAGAGTGAGATACAAACCCAATGAACTTTCTGTGCTTCCTGGAAAACCTGGAATTCCCGACAGCAGATTTCCAGACCTGCAGGCTGGAGAATCCTGAAGCAATCTTTATTTATTCATCTACAGAAGCTCTAAAAGGACAAATTTAAGCCTTCATGTTTAGTTTTCATCTCAGCGTTTATTATAAATCAGTGTCCTGTTGAAGTTTATTAACAAACAATAAAAAAATAAAACAAATGCATTGATATAAAGCAACAGTTTACACGACGATTCATTAATCCTGTTGTTGAGAAACTTTAAAACCCTTAGAGTTATCTGGAGCGATCTGAACCTCTAATTAGTGCTGCTTCTCCTCTTCCTGTTTTGTCCTTTAAGGGCATCCGTCCCTGTCTGAAAATCCGCTTTAATCTGTTTATGAGCTCAGAACCTTTGGAAGAAGAAGAACTTCAGCAGCAAACTGCTGAATGTGACGAACTTCAGAGATAAAAACTCTTTAGTTGACGGATAATCCTGGGAAACTTTATCGATTAAAACCTTCCCTAGACAGACGTGACTAGAAATAAGTAATCAGAATAGATGTATCCTTCTAGAAGACTTTCCTCACGTAAAGCTGTAACTAATACCAGAGGTGGAAAGAGTACTAA